TTTAAACAATGTGTGTATTTTCAATTAATAACCTCAGTTACATTATCCTTGGGGCTAGCCCTTTAGTAGAATCCAAACAGTGGCAGCCTGAATATTTATTCAGATGTTTCATGGGACAAAACGAAGGACGTTCAGAATGAAACGAGAGGCTAAAATCTCACATTTAATGACTTGTCAAGGAGACAATCAGGATACCTTCAGAAAAAAAAAAAAAAGAAAAAAAAGAAAAACCAACAAACACCACCCTCAAACACCCCAAACCCAAAACCTTGAGTAAACTGCACAAAATATGGAGCTAGAAGCTATTTAGAGAAAGCAACACTCATGACAATCATGATTCAGTAAGGATTTCCTATACCTGGAAAAACATTTATTTGGGAGATTCTCTCTCATCTTCCTCAAAAGTCAGCCTGAGCATCCTACAGACTTGTTGCTCTTTAGGTTTAGATATTTTTACTGTTGTTGTTTTAATTAAGTCCTTCAATTTTACCCTGGACCACAAAAGAAGTCAAAACTTCAAGGGTGATGAGATAACTAATCCAAATAAGAGCAAAGCGGATGGAAATAGGTTTCTGAAGCTATATTATAGACACAAGGGGACAGGACTAAGTCAGGACAAAAACATGAGTTAGTTTAAACTATCAGACACTAGAAGTCTGAAGCTGCTTTCTTTCAGACTACAGACTGGGCATGAAAAATTCATGACTGAATCAAGATGGACAGGGATTATCTTTTGAATACATGCCAGTATCTTAACTGTGCAATGCACAAGGCTTTTTTTTTTTTCCTTTTTTTTTTTTTTTTTTTTTTTAAGTCAAATGTTGAGTTTTCTAAGCCAACTTTTCCTTTCAAAATTGGGAGGGAGCGGGGGAGGGGGGCAGGAAAGAGTTATTTTATATCTCTTTTCCCTTTCTCTTCTCCAAAACTTATTTTACCTTTTAAAAACTTTTGGGCCTAAGTCTTCTTCAGTGCAAACATGTACGAAAAGACAGACAGAAAGACCAAAATCTTGAGAGACAGACTGTGAGCTGTTGAAATGAAAAATGTTTCAAAGTAATAAAGCTCAAATGTTTAATCTGTGTGTGAGATTTCCTTCAATCTATCTCCATGGGGATGTAGTTAGTAAGAATGGAATATGTCCAGTATACCAACAGGGGACTTAGCCACCTGTGTATGTTTTTAAGAGAATTTTGGAATTCTTCTGGATGAAATATAACACCATGCATGAAAATTAGAGTGACAGGTTATGAATATTTCAAAGATAATAATTTACATTTTGCTTGTACAGTGACACACCACACATGTTTTTCTGTCTATAATCTGTAATTTTACATCTTAAGGTTGATTATCTTGCCTTTTGATGAAAAGCATATTTTGACTGGGAAGATACATGTATAATGGTGTGTACCACTGCACCAGCAGAGACTGTGTACCTCAGAGAAATAAATGCTAATGATGTGATATTTACCATTATTTTCATGAAATATTTAAAAATAAAAATTTTAGACTAATAAGTTCTGATGATCAATATGATCACAGATGGGTATAAAGCCTCTTTTTAAAAAACCTCAAGAAAGGTTAAGAGAAGCCAAGGTCCATTTTTGGAAGTTCCTTTACTCAGTGTTTATGAAAATCCAGAAGAAGATACATATGTAAAAGATTCTTGCTTGCTAAACATTCCTATTCACTCTTTTTCGATGTAACCTTTGATAGAATCATTGTATAAAGTCCCAAAAGATACAGTGAAACCTAACAGCTGCCTGCTGCAAAAGAGAATTTGATGCAACTTTGCCGGACACATTAAACCAAATACTGAGGATCAGAACTACACAAAAAGAAAATCTTTCAGTAGCAATTTTTTTTTTTATTTACTCAGCTACTGTACAGCCTATGATGACTTGTTTTCCTTTAGTTATATGAACAGTTTGACAGATTACTGTGACAAGGTTACTCTTAAATTGATAAAAGGTTTGATAGTGTCGGAACATTTGTCAGAAACGTCTGACATCACGTGTAATGGACTCTGCACTTCAAGCATCAATGGTACTCCAGTCTGCTGTTTTCTGTTCAGTGTGCAATACACACCACCCAAAAACATACAGCAGAAATACAGAAAAGCCGGCAGGATTTACCGAAACAGGCCCTTGTACTTTATCAAACAATTCTGATTAAAGAATTTGTCTTCTATAACCCACCTGGCAAAATGCACTTAAATAAAAAGTTTTACATATCAGTTAAAGGGTGGCTTCCTTGCTGGAATAAACCTGGAAATAGGATGGGCTATGATAAATGTACATAACCATAAGCATTTCCAGCATTCCCTGTACTTTTGAGAGAGAAATATTGTGGGGTTTAGAACATTATTCCTCAGACCTGCCAAATGTCAGACATTACAAGTGACAGTTGTATTGCTGGCAGCCTTGTCACATGCTGGAGCAGAGGAAATGGGTTCAGAAGGGCTCATTTTGGGCACTGGCAGCTAGCCTAGGGGAACCAGTGTCCTGAGCATAAGCTAGCTTTGGTGAATACCTCTCTTAAATTTAGCTCTCCAAAAATCTTGTACTGCAAAATAATAATATAGTTTAGGGATTGGAATTCAGGTTTTCACCTCACATCTTGTAGCAAATTACACTAATACTTCTATGCAGAAAGCCTAAGAGCCAGCACCTTGTGCTGTTTTGTGAATACCTGTTCACATGAAGTCTTTAACACATGGTGAGACCCCAGCCACGTAAGCTAAGAGAGCGCTCTACAGAAGACAACCATTCCTGAAGAGACAAATGTATGTCTTGCTCATATAGCAGCAATCTGCTCCTATATACGCTGCATTTGCGTGCGGGGCAGGGTGGAGAAGGACGTGGAGCAGGGAGGAAAAGAGAGTAGGGATTTGGACTTTTATCCACCTCTACTATGTAACCATCTGCAAAGGCAAAGAAAATGTCTTGCAATGTATTACTTCAAAAATCTATGTGCTGCCATGACAAATTCTTGTCTTTTCAGATATTTATGTTTCCCTATATCGTCCTTCCCTTTTTGCTTTGATAAATACTTTTAATATTCTGAAAAAAAACCAGAACAACTATCTGGTTTCTCCTCACTTCCATTCAGCCAAAGGATAGAAAATCAGCAAAATGAATGTCAGCATTTTTGTTAAAGAGCATCTGTTCACACAGGAACTCCATGATAGCAAGACAAAGCCCTCTAATCATAGACCAGATTAAGTTTAGTGGAGCACATTAAAAATTTTGCCACAGTGCCAAAAGGAAGCTCTCAGATACTTGATGTGCACCTCCCATACGCAGACAAGGGGTAGGGACTTGCTCTCTGAACTTCATGATTCAAGTATCGCTGCTTATACCACAGCCTCACACCATGACTGCAGCACTAAGTGCCAAAGCCGTAAGGCTCCTCTAGGAATAGTTAGTTCATTTCTGATCAGCTGAAAGCATTTGTCTGAACTCGGAAAGGGTCAGACTGCAAGAAGATGTATAGCAAAATAGCTTTTTGAACATCAGCAGACTACAGTCAATTTATACCTACTGAGGATCTGGCCCCTGAACTGGGATTATCTATGACTGCCACAAGCGGGAAGTGTCATGAATGTAGTTTGTACAAATGTCACACAGGTACACTCGCAATTCAGCTTGCATGAAATATGAAAAATCACCACCACACTATACTCCTGTGAACAGTGAGCCAGTTCTACCTGTAGCAGCCTTAGTAGGAGAAAGTCCCAGGGAAGAGTTTCAAGCTAACATAATTTTGCTGAAGTTCAGACATCACTTCAGTGAGACTGCTAGTTCCAGTCCTGGCCAGCCACGTCCACATAAAGCATACTTAGGGAAGTCTTCCAGCATTTTTGGTCAAAATCAGGAAAGGCAGAATGACATAAAATTGTAACATTCCATTAAATTATTACTCCTATTGCAGGCTTCAAAACAACAACCACTTGGATTCAAGTCAACAAATCAGCCCCAGACTGTTCCTTAATTTACCAAACTTAATTTATTGATCCCTATTTGAAAGGCTGATTTGTGACGAAAAAGATCAAAGACAGTGTTGTCTTCTGGAATAGGCTATTCTATGGCAAAAGCACTGCAGTTCTGCATCATAAGAAGGGTGGATTTTTATTTTTCAAATCTCTCCATGTTCTTATTTCAACACAGAAACTTTGTTATCCTAAATCCGCCCAGGCAATTTCTGGTTGGAATCTCAAACTGGGTTATTCCCCTCCCGCATGTCATCAATAATAATCAAGAATTTGGAAATCCAATCAGGTTCTCATTTCTACTCATTACCCATATTCAGTCGAGTGAGGAGGCTTAACAGGGTGCAACATTTAGGAAACAGTTCTTTTGATGATGCATGAGGAGCAAAGAGCTCCTTTCTGCTGCCTCTCCAGTTTCAACAGGAATAAAATACAATAAAACTGATGTTTATCAGCACAACCTGGAAATGTGCCTCTCAAGATAAACAGGGAGGTAGAAAGTGCTACTTCCTACATCATCATTTTTCAGTGGAACAGCAGTTAATTAGACGTTAATTAGATGGCTACAAGGCCACCTTCAGTGGGTTTCATACTTCTCAATCTTTAAGCCCAGCAACGTGTGACACAGCAATCAAAAGATGGGATAAATGACTGAGATGGGAACACCCATGTTTGTTGTGCACTGGGCTGTGATTCACAGACCGTTCTAACTATAAAGTCTGTCATTAGGGAGGTTTTCTTGTCATGCAAATTCTTCTTTTAACATAAGAAAGAAAACAGATTAAAATAAACAGAAGACAACGTGAAGGCCCTCACCTCTCTGTCCCCCACAACTCATTACCAGAAGGTTTTCAACAGGCGTTAATTAGCTGTTCAAACTAAAGGAATAAGGGTTAACATTCAAGTGCAGGAGGCTTCTGATGTCTTTTTGTGGACATACATAAGTGTAAACTGAAAGGCCAGCTTTGACGTTTTCCTACCCGAAGACACTGAGTATTTTAAGTGCACTTACGGCTGGCACAGCTTGATAAGGTCCTGGTCAGTGGTGCCGGGTGGAAGGCCTCGAATGTACAGGTTGGTTTTACTCAACTGCTCTCCGCTGCTGTTGTTGCTGCTGTTGTTGCTGCTGTTTGTGCTGGGGCTGGGAGGAGCCATGGGGTGGGGAGCTGGTGCATAGGACTGCTGGAAACAAAACAAAACAAAAAGGGTGTTACTTGAAAACAAAAGCATGGTGGACTCAGGTGCTTTACCCAGGTAACTCCAGAGCTATGGGGGGAGGACATGCTTGTCCTGCCCTCCCTGACTGCCTCCAGCTGCCTGCTCCTACAGTGCGTGCACCCACCCCGGGTCAGCAATGCCTTTCAAAATGGGGCCGAGATTTTGGGTTTAGCCATGGCTATGAAGTGCATTAGGCATTATTTTACTTTATTTTGTTAATCTGGAATTAACGTAGCTAGATTATGAGCCTATTTTATCTACATCACAAAATAAAGCTCTGAAATGGCAGATACTCAGGAGTAACTGGTATTAAAGGAAGAAGTTAAACACAATCTGCTTTAAGAATACTCTAAGACGCAAATAAGAATATCTAGCCAAAGGTACAGAAGCTGATGCCAGAAGCCTGGTTAGTCTCTTCTAAACACGAGGAGCACCCAGTACATGCACAGTAAGGTGGCGGAGAGTTGGCTAGCCTGAGAGGGGAAAAAAATTCCAAAGGAGCCTGAAAAGACTATCATGGATATCTTCCACAATAGAGAAACAGGGTTTGGAAAAGATGATCAGGCTAAGACCTCCTGCTCTCAAAACCTTACCCACTTCTGAACAACCACAAACCAGACACAACAACTGAGAAATACCACTTAAAAAGGGAGTCATTCTCACAGAGACAACAACATTCTCCCTGGTAAATACATGCTATGAAGGAAGACACACGCATGCTATAAAAATTACATAAGCACCTCCAACAACAGGGGCAACAACAGGGAATTTAAGCTGCTGCAACCATGCCTGGCTCTCTGACCACCAGCGTATTTACTCACAGCACAGAGTGCTCGACAGGAGAACGGAGGAGCGGTTGGCAGGAGGAGGCCATATCCTGACACCATTGTGACCTGTGCAGAAAAGCTGAGACCTAGGGGAGAAGTTGGGGGAGACTGCGAATGCTGTGGGCCAAGGCTCGGCCTGGGCAGCCAGGGGAACTGGAGGCAGAGCTCCAGGAACATAACCGCCTGCTGAGAGGGGGGAAATCCCCTTTCCACATGCTGATCAGCATATCCTGCTAGCAGTCTGCCCAGTTACAACAGCAGGTAAATGTTAGGCGAGTACTAAGTCAACCATGATGTGCTAATGGACTAATAAAAGCAAAACATCCCCAATTTTCATTATAGTAGCAGTGACATTTTAGTGACTTCTAACATGCTCGTTCTACATTTAGGCCTTGAACAGAGAAAATATTTAAGTCTGTGAGTAATTCTGATCACACTGATCAACTTCCCCTTTCATTTCAGTGGCCCCACTTTAGGGCTTGTAATTATGCACACACTAAATCAGAGCCTCGGTACATGGTTATTTTTAAATTCTCTCTGCTCTAAACTCTTTCAAACAAGTCCCTTTACTTAGAAGAACCAAAAGAAGTTAGAGAGCATAAGAGGAGCATCAGTGATAGGTGAAGCTCAGAGGCTTTGATGAGATACATAAAGCGCCACACTTGCAACGATGTCTTTCCTCCTGCCTTCTCCTTCCTTCTTCCCAGTTTGTCCCATTTAAACCAGGAGAGTGGGAACACACCATCAAGTGTCAGGACATCAGAATCCCTCCGCATTCTAGCCTGGTTGTAATGTGACTCAAGTAGGACCCATTAAAAGGAAAAATCAGTTTAATAGACGGTGCAATCGCCATGCGAGCAAGTAATGACGTTCACTCTCATCTACAGTAACAGAGAAAGGCCGATCAGCTTCCTTCCCCGAGTATCTGCGTAGATACTTTTGCTGACAATCAAAAGCACTTAATGCATACGGATCATATTTCTCTGCACACACATTTTATCACTGGGTAATCCCCACCCACCCCAGCTTCAATGTCATTCCCAGAAATAGAAAGCTGAAGAAGCAGCAACCCTGAATACCAGCACGGGGAACTGCCTCAACCGAGCCCCAGTGCTGTGGGCACGTCCTGGAAATCAGCTCCACACAACAGCCATGGCGTGGCTGGGTAAAACTGCAGGCAACAGTGACCTCCAACAAATACATAGACAAGTGCATCTTAAAACATCCTGGCTGAAAGCATATTTAAATCTCTGGGCACTCCAGAGCCATGGTAGAGGTGACTGTGTATAGCACATGTTTGGCTTTAGTACACCAAGAGCTCAGGAAATACACCGTGGTAAAATTGCACGTTTTAAGCACTGGTAAGATAGAATAAAAATTAAAAAAAATTAAAAAAGGTCAAGGTAACATTTTTACCGCTTTACCCCACACCTCCAAGTTTACCATACACACTGAATGCACGTAAAGGACAGAATTTTCTGTAAGCCAGTAAAGTGCTATGTACTTTAATTATTAATTGTTATTATTATATATGTCTTAGCAGGGGATAATGAGTAAATGGCCTATTCTCACACCAACCTAATAAGCAAGAAAAAAAAACAAGTGGAAATACACCTTTGAAATACAAAGAGCAATTTTCATTCTATTGTAAGATCTTTATCCTCACACAGAGGAAAGCACTGGGGGCCTAATTCTAATTTAAGCTTAAGACATTTTATCCCTCTTGGCCAGCTGAAAGGGGACCTAGATGAGAACATGAATTACATTTACACTGATTTTAAGGCTATTAAAAAAAAAAAAGTCCTCAGTATATCCAGAGAATTAGGCCATGGGATAGGTGGTCTCTCAAGCAAGAGCTGCTCAGACAATAGGCACACACAGATGCCCAGGTTCAGAGCAGCATCCTGGGAGATGCTTTAAGGGTGGGCAGAGAGGCAGCCATGCTCCGCTTTGGAGGATGCTGATCTCAGACCAGCAAGCACAGCTATACTCCAAACCCTCTTCACTAATAAATCTCAGCCACTGCAGCCCACAATAATTTCCATGCATATCCAATACCCCAGAATACCATCCGCAGAAAGATTACAAAATTGCTTGTACTAGGGCTGATGACATCTTCTGGCCGGTTGCCAGACTAAAAGCTTCAGGTCAGAAGAAAGCTTTGAATTCTTGTTTCCTGAGCTTGTGAGTGTATGACTGATGGCAGAAGTATGCGTTTTGCCTCCAAATGAGCAAAGGGTCTGGTTCGTTAATCTCTACTTAATAACTGGAGTGAAAGAAATTAATGGCAACCTGATGATGATCCCAGATATTGACCACTTGCTACAGGATCCCGGATGATGCTGAGGGGGTGCATTGCCTGGGGAGCCACCTGCGCACCCGACGGCAGGAAATTTGTGCCTTGCTCTGACGTCGGCCTCCTCCGTGGCTGGGGGCAAAGCACTTAACTTCTCTGCCACAAGAGCCATGAGGAGCACTGCTTTCCAGACTGGCTCAAAGCACCCTGACACCAGCTGTAGAAATCTGGGAAAAACATTTTGCCAACACAGCCGAGTGCAGGACCTGCAGCGCTAGAAAAAAGTATTAGGCAAAATCTACATTTTACTTCAAAAGGGAGCTGGAATTCAGAGCTGGCTTTGTCCTTAATTTTTCAGACAACCAACGCAACCAACTCATTTTTCAATTCTCATGCTTCATTATTCAATGGGGAGTGGGGGGGAGTGAACTGGTTTGTAGATCATTCCAAGCAGCTTATTAATTTAGCATGGCTGGCTAATAGGATTTGTTTTCATCTTTGAAAAATGAATGAAACTTCTCCTTTTTCATTATTTAAAAGTGAGAAATTAATGTGCTTAATTCTTATCCAGTCTCAGGAACGCACCCTTATGCTTAAAACCTACTGTTGAGCTCTCTGAAACAGTGTCCCATGCAAGTGCGCACAGCTAAGCATGAATAATGAGATACCTTGGTCTTTCTTACACAATAACCCAGAAAGGCTGAACCAGAAGCCTCTTGGTTACTAAATGAACAATACTCCTCCTTCTAACATCCAACCTCCTTAACACAAGGACGGTGTTTATCTTCCAATAGCAACCACAGTACCCTTATGTAGTTTTTTCACTTGTTGCAAGTTTAGTTTAAAGCATTTTTCTCCCAAAGCAAAACACTACTTAAAAAGACAAATTTCAAATATTTTTCACATACAATTCCTTTTGGATGGGAATCACAGGCCCCAGATGCCAAGTTGTAGAGTCTGCTTTATTAGCAGCAGCTGGCTCCTTGGCAGGCTTCTGAGGCGGTTGGGCTTGTGGTTTTGGAGTGGCCTCAGAGCCTAGGATGCAGCTGGACAGCTATGCTAATGGACTAGCCAATTTGTTTGTATTCACCTTTGGCTATCCCAAATTTGTACTCTTTTATCCACTTGAAAGTAAGGTCTTGGAAAGATTCCCCATTAACACTGATATGTTGACTTTTCCTATTGTAGTGCATATTTTATATAAAAAAGGGAGTACAACACACAGTCCTGCATTAAAACATGTGTTATTTAAGCAATTGTGAACATACACTATCCATTTCACTCTGAACAGAGTGTTTTCCAGCTGCTAGATTCATCTCACTTAGAGCCCAATTGCTACACAATTCCCTTAGCTCCTGATTGAGAGAATAAAATAAGGCAAAGTAAATACAAATAAATTGTGCAAATATCAGTTTACAGCACACACTAGCAAAACACTGTTCTCTTTACACCCTACTGTACAAAGGAGTAATTTTTGAGAGCTGGAGGGCTCTTACTGGCCAACTATAGCAATGATGAGAGGATGCCACCAACTTATCAGCCTGATGATGGGATTTTGGAGCTGATTGAATGGCAAATCTCATATTAAGCAAAAGACAATCATCACAGTCAAAGAGAAAACAGAGAGGTAGGGCAAATATAATAAAAAGAATTAGATAGAAGCCACAGCAACTCTTCTCCATTTTGGTTGCCTTCCTCAGTGAGAAGCGGCACCAAAAGGTAAGCTGTATTTCTCATCTACAGCCAGGTGGAACAGAAAAGTGAATAAAAGTTGAACATTGAAACTGGCAACACAGAAACCTCGTGTATTTTAGAAAGGCTGCAGTCAAGGGAACTCGAGT